AAAGGTACAATTCCCAATGAGAAACGTAATTGTGTTGTATACCTACAATGTACCAATAAAAGAATTTAACAACAACAAAAAAAGAATTAAGTATGAGTTCTAGCTTCTAGGTTGGAAGACTAGGTAGATAGTGCCACCATTTAATATCTTACAAGAAATAGAAAATTGCAGCAGGTTTGGAATAAAAATAATAAGTTCAAACTGGGAGTGGTGATGTATGTCTGTAATTCCAGCATTATGGAGGCTGAGGCAGGAGGATCACAAATTCAAGCCCAGACTGGACAACTCAGTAACTTAGCGAGATCCTATCACAAAAAAGTAAAAAGGATGCGATGTAGTTCAATGTACTTGTGTTCAGTCACTATACTATAATGTAATAATAATAATAATAATAAATTCAGTGAAAATAAGCTGAAAGAGCCAGGCTTGGTGGCACACATTGTAATCCCAGCTACTTGGGAGATGAAGGCACAAGCTCCATGGCCAGTGATAGGAGAGATGTTAAGCGAAATGCAGCTGTGTCTCCACATACAAAAACAGAATAATAAGCAGAGCATGGAAGCACACACCTATAATCCCAGCTGCTGGGAGACTGAGGCAGAATGGTTGTGAATTCTGGGCATGCCTGATCAACCTAGCAAGACCCTGTCTCAAAATAATTTTATAAAGGCCTGGGAATATAGCTCCATAGAAGAGCATTTACCTAATATGTGCAAGGCCATGAGTTCAATCCTCAGTGCCACAAAACAGACAGATAGACAGATAGATGGATGGATGGATGGACGGACGGACGGATGGACAGTCAGAATAAATGAACTAAGGCACAAGTTTGTATTAAAATATTCTTGACAAAGACAAACTCATTCTGCATCAAGAAAAAATGAAGTGAAGAAACTAGGTATTGCTCACTAATAAGATTCAAATACTAACAGTCTCCATCTTTTCTCTTTTTCTTTTTTTTGCGGGGTAGGTCTGGGCAGTGAGCTCTCAAAATGAAAAAAGGATGACTTTTCAAGTCTAGTATGGCGGCGCACTTCAAACTTGGCAGAGTGGCTATACTCTCAGCAGCCTGGAAGCGTGATGCAGGAAGAGCCCAGGAGTTTGAGAACAGCCTGGAGGGCCCCATCTCAACAAAGAAGACTTTACCTGATACTTTTGCAAGCGTTTTTCTATGTATGGAGAAACAACAACACTATGGCAGCTTTGATTTATGTAAACAGGGTAGTCTTTCTTTTTCAGAATCTTGTCGGTGACTAAAAGTAAACAAAAAATTTTTTTAATATCATAAACATTTTTAAAAACTTAAAACTTCTTTCCAACAGAATTTAATATCATAGTAAACAAGTGATTAATTTCTAAAAAATTCTATGGTTCACACTGAAAGACTTCACAGTTCATAATTTTGAAAAACACAAGACCAAACAATGAAGTTTAAATAGTTCTTTCTGTCTTGAACTATCCACTGCAGCCAACCACCAGGGGCTGCAATGTCCTTAGACAGACATCCCTTGAGCTACACAAAATACTGAGTCATCTGTGCTCATCCTCGTGGGAAACTCCTTGGCTGTTCCAATAAATGATATTCAGTCAGCTGAAATAATGTTAACCAAAGAAAAAGGGGCACTGAATGTCATCTAGAAACTGTAAAGGCAAATAACACAAATTCTTCAGTTTTCTCAAATATAAATAATTACCCCATTTATTTTTACAATATTTTTTTCTCCTAGGATGGATAACAGTAGTGCATCAAGATGAATAAGATTTAATAGAAGCAATTCTTGAGGCTATCCAATCACCTTTTTTTAAAAAACCCTCTTAGTCCACCTGAGTGAGCAATATGCTACACCGGTTAACAGTTCAGGCCCTTGTTGTGAGGATATGGAGAAACTGGAACACTGGGCCATTGCTGGAAGGAATATAAAATAGTGCAGCCATGGTGGAAAACAGCATGGCAGTTCCTCAAAATATTAAACATGAAATCACTATGTCATCCAGAAACTACATTTCTAGTTAAATACTCAACCAAGAGCAGGGATTCAAACATGCTAATGTTCATAGCAACATTATCTACAGCAGCCAACATGTGTCAGCAACCAAAATCAACACACACACACACACACACACAATACCACAATGGAATATTATTCAGTCTTTATAAAGTAAAATTCTGCTACACACTACAATATGGATGAACCTTAAAACACTATAGTCAACAAAATAAGCCAGATACCAAAAAGGACAAATACTGTATGGATCTACTTATATGAGGTACTCAGCAAAGGCAAATTCATAAAGGCCAAAAGTAAATGGCAATCACCAGTAGCCACAAGAAGAGATAATCACAAGTGCTATTTAACGATTACGGAGTTTCAGCTTGGAATCATGAAAAGGTCTTGGAGATGGGGAGTGGTGAGGGTTGCACAGGTTTAGGTACATACTTGGTGACACTCAATTGCATACTTTAAATGGGAACTGTTTTCTGTATAGTTTATCACAGTTGTCAAAAAAGGGGAAGTTAAAAAATAAAAGGAGTGTAGGCCCTGCGTCCGACTTGCTTACGGTCCTGGCTCTGCTGTTTATCAGCTATGTGGCCTTGGGAATTGCCCTTGACTTCTTGCAGTCAGTTTCTTTTCCTGCAAAATGGGTATAATTACAGCACCTCAGAAGTGGCTGTGGCACAGTTTATGAAGTATCTGGGATAACTGTCTGCAGATACCTTCAGATCCTTCAGAAGTTACCTCTTATAATCACCAAAACTATTTTTATCTCCTTCTGCTTAATCATGCCCTCTACAGCAGTGATGGCGAAGCTTTTAGAGACAAGGGCCCAAACTGCAACCCAAAATCCACTTACTTATCGCAAAGTCCCAACACTGCAATTCAACCTCAATACTGAGGTTTTAATTTAGAAAAAACAACGCATACCTTAACATCTTTTGTCTTAAAAAATAAATAAATAACACATGTGCCTAGGTTCACCACCACTGCTCCCAGAGGAAGTCTCCAAATGGGATAAGAGCACAGGTTCCCCAGCTAGTTTTATCTCCCATGTCAGAGTATTAAACTGCATTTTAAGGTATAAGTTACTCTGTCGTGATATTTTAAATACAAGAAATAAATCATCTACCATCAAACAAACTGAATATACAAATTTGGAAAATATCTGGACCCTCGACAATAGAGATTTCCACCATATTACTGTCCAGGTCTAAGACAATGTATTAAGGCAACCCTCAAAACCTCTCCCTTTCATGGCTCTGTCTGACGATAACATACCCCACCACGAGATCCTATGCATCATCTAGACCTAGGTTAAATGCATATTGATGTGTCTGTGCATGTCCAGAGAAAAGTCTGGAAAGATACCTAATTAACGATACTAAATACATAGTAGGAGGAAATGCTTCATTCTTTACTAAATTTATGTTCTTATGCATTATTATAATTTCCCTTTAAAAGCACATATTACTTTGCCATGAAAAATCTAATCAGTCAATGTAGGGGGCCCTGCCCCCCCGCTGGAACTCTTGAGTGCCTTCTACGGACATGCCCGGGCTTGTTGCAGATCTACCCGGCAACAAGGAAGTAACCCCAGTACACTCCTCTTGCTCCTCCCCTCTCGCCCTACGGTATATATGTTGTAGCAGCTTCCGCAATAAACGAGACTTGATCAGAAACCTGTCTTGTCTCCATCTCTCGTGTCCCCTGTCCCCTCTCATCCTCGCTCCCCCTCTAGGGTCTCCGTTGACTTACCCGCGGGCCGGGACAAGTCAAAGTTTTATAATTGTCTACAGTGGTACCTTGGTTCATGAACTTAATTCTTCCCATAATTCTGGTTGGAAACCAATTGGACAAGAACCGAATCAAATTTTCCCATAAGGTCAATATTGAAGCTAACCATTGAATATGATCCAGTTCTCATCCAATCCGGTTTGTGACCAGAATCGTGGCAAAAATTGATTTCATAAACCAAAGTACCACTGTATTTGGATTTTTATAATAGGTGTAAAGCCAGAAGCCCTAGAACTGTACTATCTAGAACAAGAAAGAATTTTGCACTGAGAATCACTTCAAACACATAACAACAGCAATTGTAGAGTCTTGTGTTTCAACCATAAGAATGGAAATTTCCTAATGTGATTTGGGAAAAGTCCATCTCTACCTATAAAAAGAATAGATGTCTAGCTCAGCTTTCTGGTCACCTCCTATTTGTCTTCCTGGGATGAATTCCCTGTACCAAAAAGATCTTTGTTAGTAATAATAGGTGAGATGGAAGGGACAGTTTATTTTTATTATATTTATTATTTATAACATATTAAATACATTATTTATATGATATTAAGTAATATTTAAATTGCTCTGTCACATATTTCCACTCTATGATCATAGAAATGTTACTCATCCGCTCTAAGCCTCTGTTTTCACTTCAGTAAAATGAATATATCACCACTTCCAGATTATGGTGAGGATCAGAAAAGGTAATATGGACAGACATCTGCTGCATGCCTACATGTGGTTTTGTGCACTAACATTCATGTAGTTGTCACTTGTAATAATATTAACATTCTCAGAAGCACTTGATGAAATTATTTCTTGGATTCTGTCCATTTATAAGGTTAAGAAAAATCTCTATGATGCTAATAAATTTCAAATAAAAGAAGTAGAATAGAAATACTTTCAGCAATGGCAGGACATAGTTGCAACAATCACGAGTTTTTAAACTTTTAAACGGGGTGGGGGGTACCTCCAGTGTCCACAAATGTGATGACAGCACTTCGGGACTGTTTGTCATACTCCACGCTTTCCACCTCCCCACCTCCATTCCAGGACTTGCTAAAACTCAGCGCTAGTGTGTCTCTCGTCTGATCTTCAGGCAATCCATCGGGAATTTCAGTAACATTGATCTTCACTTGAGAGACTTCTACACGAACCTGGAATCTGACCCCAGCATTCAGTGGAACTGGCTTGGCTGTGACCGCCACATTCACATCCTTTATCCACACTTGATGCTTTCCCATTCTTATCACATTTTGTGCAACTGAAAAATAATTTGGGAAGTATCAATTTTCAATAGTTTGAGAGATTTGTATGCTTTTCTTTAAGGAAAAAAATATCCTGGCTGACTAGAGTTTTGTTTAATTTTAAAGGATCTAATTTTAACATTTTTCTTGGGATTTCTGGATGATAATGGTCTTACTATCAAAGGAGGATATACTAATGTTAAAATAAATCAGCAAAAATGACATGTAGAAATACTCATCAAGTTCTCGGCTCATCTTAGGAAATGAGTCCCTCCTCTTAGCTCTTAAGAGGGACTAATAATCCTCCAGAAATTCATATATTATTTCGATCCAACCACACATCCTTCCTTTCCACTACTGACAGCATTACCAATTTCCAGAGAACTCCTAATACATGAAAGCTCAACCAGAAATTCTTCCATGCTGAATAAGCTAGGAAAACTTTTGTGGGCCAGAGTCATTTTTGCAATTAATTTTGATTTTATTTAACTTTATCATTTGTTATTCATACATTAGTAGCAATACAGAAAATACATACTCATTTTTGTGTCTGCCTTCCCAAGGATAACATACTAAAGACCACACAGGCTTATGTACCAAAGAGTGAGGGATTTCTTATTTTGCCTGCCACATTTAATGAACAATTTTGCTAAAATGCTCTTAAGATGATTGAAAAAGTTGAAAGCTGGGCTATACCACTAACAAAGCTGTCAAGTATAATTTACCACACAAATAAGGCTCAGTAATACAATTATGCCAAAAGGCACTAAAAATTCAGAACGCAAATATATGTCAGTTTTAAATGTATATGGGTAATTGTGTGACATAGTTTTGTAAGGGTTTAGTTGTTGCTATTTGGAGCTACTTATCCTACTTATCATGAAGATAAGAGACGTTCACTCTCTGTCTTATAAACCTCACGTGTGTTTATGACAACCAGATAGCATACCACAGCTGGAAGAAGAGAGAAACAGCTAGAAGGCAAGGCATTGCCATGTGGGGATTCAGACTCACTGTACCACAAAGTGACTCTACAACTTGGGTGATTTTTTTTCTTTTTGCTAATGGCAACAGACAACATCAGTGAAGTAATGCTCAGATGATCCACTCTCCCTCTCAGTCTCCCCAAGCGCCCAGCATCTGGTGATCTGACGCAGTGGACAGGGACCACTTGCATCTCAACCTCGGTGATTCTGCGTCAAAAGCCAACTCCTATTTAATTGTATTTAGATCTAACTTTGTCCCAGGAGAGCAGGACCTCAGAGTCATGCCAAGGATGGAAGTAGTGCTGTAGCTGTTTCGGAAGAGAATTCTAATCCCAGCATTTGGAGGTCACTGCTGTGCAGAGGTCCGGCTCCCGAGTCCTCCTTTACATCTGCCAGTTACATCCTGATCACCACTGCCTCTGGCGGTGTGGCTCCAAGCATCCTTTCCCCTCAGCTGGTGGTGGTGGCTCACTTAATGCCTTATCTTCAGATGCTGACTTTATGGGATCTTTCCTTTCAACATTTATTTTCAATCTACCGAGATGGACCAGGTGTCAGGAGAGTAGATTCTCAGAATCTAAGCTCTGGAATGGACCTGTAGACCACCTTTCTCACCCTAAAACTTCTTAAATCCTAGAATGAAGGCTGGGCTGGTGCATGCTCAGAGGGAGGGCGGTCTAGGACAATTACACAGGCACTCAGGGTCCGGCTCTCAGCTCTGTGATTTAGTAACTGTCAGGACCTTGAGCAAGTTACTACTCTTTTTTAAACTTCCATTTCCTTATGTGGAAAATCTCTGACATGTAGTGGTGATAACAGCTAACATTTATAAGGTGTTTATTATGTGTCAGACACTGTGTTAAGGGTTCTATTAGCATTTGTCATGTAATACTCAAAGCAGTAGCATGAAGTAGGGACTACCACAAAGCCTATCATAAAAAGCTGAGGCTTACAAAGAACTCACCCCAAATCTGCTTCAAAGAAGAGATAAAGCTTATACTCAAAGCCAGATCATCCTCACAGAAGCACCCCAGCCCTTGACCAGTGGCTCACACTATGGCAGACTTCATGAACAACAGTTCCCAGCCCAAATCTCTCACTCCCAGGCCCTGTCCAAGTACTCATTAGGTGCCCTTAGGTAAATCACTTCCACATCCTCAGAATCTATTTTTGTGGCTATAAAGTGTAAGTGATGCCTATCCAAACCCACTGTGTCTATAAAGTTGAGTAAGTATAAAATTAGACAGTCTGTGAAAACACTTAGAGAGCTATAAAGTGCTACCACCCTACAACATTATTACAATTATCATCATTGGGAGGCAGCCTGGGGAGTAGAAAGAGGCTGGACTGGACATCAGGACACCTGTACTTGATCTCAGAATCACTACTTTCTGAATGATAACCATTACATACTTCATGTCTTAAGAATTAGTTTTCTCATCTGGAAAATGGGACTATCAAGCGTGCCTCAGAGTGTCACTAGGAAGATAAGAAGAAATAATAGATATAGAAATTGTAAAGGAATAGCCAAATATCTATGAAAGCGCTTTGAAAGTTCAAGTGGTTCCCAAAGGTGACATGGTCATATTTTTAAGATTAGTCATACCTTCTTCTTTTTCAAAGGTGATAAGTGCTTGTCCTTCCTGTAGCTCATAAGATACTTGTGAGCTCACTTGAAATGAACAGGAGATATTTAAAAACTGGCTGTCATTCTCAGGATTCTCTAATGATGTGAATGTCATCTGTGTCTCAGGAATATCCTCTTTAATCTAATTCAAACAGAAATGTTTCATTAAAACCAAGAGAAGAAATAACTTCAGTCCTTCCAAGACAATGTGATGTGGTCATTCAGTAATTCATTCTTCAATGACTTTGAGAACTTCATAGAGTATTTTGGTTTTTGTTTTTTCTAGGTACCAGGAATCAAACTGAAGACCCTGTACTTACCAAGGAGGTGCAGTGCCACTCAGGTAAAGCCACAGCCCCAGAACTTCACAGAATATTGACTGTTGGTCTCATGTAATGTCTTTAGTAATTGCTTTTTCCCTGAAATACTCAGTAATGTAATCAATGTGGATCCTTTGATATCATTTCATAAATAGGAAGAAAAGGGGCAAAGGGCAAGGGGGAATGGGAGGGGTAGGGGAAAGGAAAGAAGGGAGTGGAATTAATATGAGAAAAATGGAAAAATGGAAACAAAGTCTTTGTAAATAGGGAGGGATGGAGGGGTTGAAGGGAGGGCAGGGGAAGGGGAAAAAATAA